CTGGTAATGTGAACTCAACTTACCAAATTGAGAATCCATCACCCAATTTTGGTCATGGAATTAACATTAGTATGGCCTCTAGTGTTTCACCTAGTGGTGGTGATCCAGTGAAAAAGAAGAGAGGTAGGCCTAGGAAATATGGTCCTGATGGGACAAACATGTCTTTAGCATTGTCCCCTTTGTCTAGTAACCCTTCAAGTGGTGGGTCCATTACTCCCGGGCCGAAGCGAATACGGGGCCGGCCTCCTGGAAGTGGGTGGAAGCAACAATTAGCTGCTGTTGGTGAGTTATGAACATTAATGTGTTATGATATTTCATATATGTGTAAACTTTTATGTTTGTTTCATTTCCTTGCTATACTTGTTATGTTGATGCTACATTTATGAAGTGGTAAATAACATTTTCCCTACATTGTTAGCATGCGACCTATTTTATTCATGTGCTTCTTGTTTTGAGCTTTTATTCGTGTCTAATTACGCTATATGGTGCTGCCTGTCACAGATAATCAGGGCTAACAGCCTGAATCTTGTTCACAATTAGCATAGAAAAAATGATTTATGCAGACTCATAGTATATTTTATCAGATTCACCTGCACTCATTTAGTTAGACTTGTCCTATTGTGGCTTAACGCGAGCTGATTTGCCTAAATTGCTTAAATGGTTACACTCGGCATCATGTTGATGGCTGCATATCGCGTAATAATGATTTTGATCTTCCCCTTCCCAAGGTTAGGCCCCATAAATTCCAGGTAGGGAGGATGGAGGTGTTGGGGTAGGGCGGAAAGTTCTCCCTAATAATTCTAATCATGTTGGTTAATTATATCTCAATTGGAGTGGTAACTCGCAAGATGTCCTATTTATTTGGTCATCGTCTATGAAGATTAAATTGCTTTGCTGCAGGTGAATGGATGAGTAGTTCGGCTGGATTGGCTTTTACTCCTCATGTTATACACATTGGTGTAGGAGAGGTATTGCTTTCACACATTTTGTATGTATAATGTTTTTAGGAGCAAATGCTACTAAGTTTATCTTTAGCGAATGACTGAAGTATTTTTATTATGTTTGCCTTTTTTTGATCCGAGTATAAGTCTTCCGAACAATAAATCTGGGCTATGGATGAAAGTAAATTGATGTCTTATGTTGATATGTGATTTTGATTACCTGACAAACAAAAGTAAAGTAAATGTCTGTGTGTTTTCCTTCTCACTCATTCCTATGGCGGGAACTTGAGTTGAGATGGTGCAAACAAGCAAAGACACACGTTTGGTAACCAAAACAGAAACAGAGTTGACATTGTTGGGAAGGTTATCCCACAATGTTTGTCCAGAGGGAAGAGCTTTCAGATGTGGAAAAATGTGATTTGACTGATGTTGGATCTTAAACCTTGCCCGTGCTTAAACATTCTATTGTCACCAAATTTTGTAACCTGTATTTTATTTTGCTTGATGTGAAATGCACTTAGAAATATATTCTCCTTCAATTTTACAGGATGTTGCGGCAAAATTGTTGGCATTTGCACAGCAGAGGCCTAGGGCTTTATGTATCTTATCAGCTAATGGCGCAGTTTCAGCTATAACATTACGCCCCCCTGCCAGTTCTGGTGCCACTGTTACTTATGAGGTTAGACTTTGTTTAATATTTTGTATTTACTTGGACTTGGAGAGCTGATAAATACCAGTAAGCGAGTTGTTGAGAGTTCTTGACTGAGATTTTACATAAAATATTCTCCCTTCGAGATCCTAATTGAGATAATGGAAAGTGAAGAGCTGATTAATACCATTAGGCACATTATTGAGAGTTTGAAACATAGTGAAAAAATGAGGTGCTGTATGTTTTGATCAAAACTTGCTGAAACTGTGGAAGATGCTCTGCTTGTTTTCTTGTTAATAACTGCTGAGATGCTGAGGCATGGTTTGTCTGACGACTAGCTTTTATATTATTGCCTCTTCATTCTCCCATCTTAAGAGCAACTTTATTTGGAGCATTGCCACTTTATTTTGGGGAAAGAAAGAGAAAAAGGGAGGCTGGTGGGGCTGTTTGCTTCGTGGCTGTTACTTAGGAGCTTCAAGCTTCTTTTGAAAATACTTTAACAGTTAATATCAACTGGTTAAAAGTTATTAGCAGGTGGTTCTTTTGGAATACTGAACGCGACTGACAATATGCGATTGGTAGAGACATTTTCATAAGCTTGTCTAAAATAAAAATAAAGCATTAAGTTGTTCATGTTCGATTCTTGTCTTGGGTCCGAGGACCTTTCAACTGTTTAAGAACAATATAGGTTCTATGACATTTCAATAAAACAAACTCAGGCCACACTTATAATTGTCTTACATGTCTTGTGTATCAAACTTATCTCCTGTGAAACTGAAAATGAGCTATCATTATTCCTTATTGCTGATGTTGTTTGTTGTGATTGTTACTTGTTATATAACATTCTTATATCTAACAATATAGCTTACATATGCGAATCCAAACTATAGGCCTTCTATAACATGTTACCTGGTCATGTAACCTACATATTTCATACTTAATTTCACTTCAATGTTAAAGACCTGAATTATACTTTCTTTAATGATTCAAGAAAGTATGTGAAGCTTTTATTTTTGCTCTTTGTTTATCGTTAGAATGTCTGGAAAATTTCCCCTTTTTTCAATCTAGTCTTTTGAGTGGATTAAGATTTTTCCTGTATCTAAGGTCCAGAACTTTTTATTGGTCCATGATACTGCTTTGATTCTTTACTCGTCTATCAACTTTCTTGTTTAATACTTTAATGGTCCATCTCCGTCCATAGTGATTCAGTAGTATGCCTTAGAAAATTACAATGAAATTCAGTGCTGCATCAATTTCTACTTAAAATGATAGTATAAGAGCCATATCATCATCGGTTATCAAAAAGAGCCATATCATCCTTTCAAGATTGCTTATTGTTCTTCCTTACAATGGTTAAAATTATACTTACAGAAACAAGAAAGCAATGATTTTTGGATTGGAGAAAGTCATTTTCATTTCTTTAATGGAAAACTACAAACAGAATGGATATGAACATGAGATATAAACACTTGATGCTGCAAATATAAAATGTTTAGCAAGTACTTCGACATATTAGTCAATATAAAGATCATATACAAAAAGTCCTGGTAATTTATTGGAGTACCCATGACTGGAGAACCAGAAACCTCCAATAAATAGTTTGGTTTTACTAACATGCACATAATTGTAACAATTTCTAATTTAGGTTTATTTGTCTCTCCAATCCTCTCTTTTCATTACATGTTGGCAATGTGATACATGCGATTTAACAAGTCCATCTGAATTGTTGATAGTGACAAAGTCGATGCAAAATTGAGAAATTAGCACTTTGTTACTTCAGTTGAAACACTTTTAATATGTGTCTTCCTTGTTGCTCAATCTTTGTCTCAATACTTAGACCATCTTTTTTCATGCACATGCTCACACTTATAAATCATGTGAATGGATGTTGACACTGATTGGAAAATGTCTATAACAACTTTGTTCCCTTTGTGTTCTCTCCCCTCTAAAATTTCCGTTCTCTCCTTTCCTTTTGCCATATGTGCATGTCATTCTGCTTGTGACAAATCATGTATCCTGAAAACTACATGTTTCCTATTCTGTGCAGGGCCGTTTTGAGATACTATGCTTGTCTGGTTCATACTTGGTTGCTGAAACTGGTGGCCCACGCAATCGCACCGGTGGTATAAGTATCTCGGTTTGTAGTCCTGATGGGCATGTAATTGGAGGTGCTATAGGGGGTAGGCTCATAGCGGCCAGCCCTGTTCAGGTATTTGCTGAATGCTTGTTTATCTCTCAGTCTTTTGGGAGTATTTGTTTTCTGTTTTCTGTGTAACAAGCAAATTTGCTGCAGGTAGTTGTATGCAGCTTTGTATATGATCCAAAGGTAAAGAGCAAACCAGAAAGTAGTACTCCTATTAAAGAGGAGAAAGAGTCTGCTGAAAAGTCATCTACACCAATTGGTGCTACTCCGAGTCAAGATCCTAATTCAGGTTCTGGCACGGCTGTTTGGCCTCCAAGTTCCCGGCCAGATGTAAGAAATTCCCAGACTGGGATTGACCTGACGCGTGGATGACACAATTCACTGCAATGCACACATGTTTTGTATATATGTGCTTTTGTAAATGAAACGTGCGCCAGGAGATCAGCTCAACGATTTAACTGTCTGCCTATTAGTAGGATGATGGATTATGCTAACTCTGTAACAAAATTCTTCTTTTTAGGTATTGTTAAGTAGTAATGTTAGGGGATGATGGCTGTTGAAAGTAAAATGCATTATTGCATCTGTAGAAGGTCAAGTGTGATGGACCAAATTGTCTGAGGAAAAGTGGTGGATTTGCTTTTGATCTCTTTTCTGTAGTAAACATAGAATATTTTTTTTATTCCGGGACTAATCAACAAGCCAAAGGTGAGATCTTTTTGCCTCTATCAATCCTTCATTAATTATGCCATAAACTTTAGATACTATGATATTATGGCTTAATTTCTTAGAACCATTGTTTTATTTTTGCTTGCAAACATTGCAAACTGTTTTGCCAGGATTTCTGCATACAGTTCATTCTGATAAAGTTTTGCATGATTCTTGACTCAATGAAACTATTACAAGTAGATTACAACAACAAACCCACAAGTGGGGTCTGATGAGTGTAAAGTTTACGCAAACCTTACTCACCTAGAGGGTAGAGAGATTGTTTCTGATAGATTCTCGACTTAAGGAAAGATGATAGGATAAGCAGATTAATTTTGTCAAATTCAGTTCAAACAGATGCATGTATATATATAATTGATCATTTTGACAGAGAAGCAAGTAGAAACTTCTGTACTATATGATAACATGAATGGAAAACAAAACAAGAACAAAGAAAGAGTATTATTCTTTGATCCCATGGTGAAGGGAACCGAGACTTGTTATCAGTTCCTCTGGGATATGCAGGGTATTTATTGAAAACCAGCAGATTTCATATCATTAATTATTCAGACCAGGAGATTTCAAGCCAACCCCAGTCTTTCTTAGGAACACCTAAAGCTTTCCACACTGCTTCAGAAGCATCCACAATGTTATTCGGGCAAGGAGGTTGGTATGCATGTGGAGCATCACACCCTTCACCCGAATCACATTCATCGACAACCATGGCTTTCACACTCCTCCCATTTGCATGTACTGTAATGTTTTCAAAACATCGTCTTCCTTTACTGTACCATCCGGTGGACAGAGCCACCACCGGAATAGAGTTATGGTAATACGTGCCACTACATTCAGATGGACCGCCACCATCACCACCTTTGTCAAAGTCGTTAATGGTAAGAATTGCCTTCGTGTGAACAGAAACTGGAGGTGAGCATTTGTATGTAGTGTAAAGTTTTCCTTCTTTACAACATTCATCACCAGGGCTACATTGATCTTTTGGGGGCTTTTTACCCTTAATTTTTCCACTTGGCTTGCATTTTTGAGCTTCCACTAATGTGTTAGTACAAACCATGGAAATAAGGGTCAAGAAAGTAACAAAATGAACTAGGCTGAAATAAGTTCCCTTGTTCATTTTTGCAATTATAAGTTTCATCTTAAGTAGTTGTGAATTAAACAAGATGTTTTTTGTGGTGAAAAGCTGATATAATTGCTCTGCTATTTATACGAAAATTTTGCCGCCCAATTATACTTGGCAGTAAATAGGGTGGTCATGTAAATCAAAACCATGGAACACTATGGGGTAAAAATACTAAGAAAATGAAGGGACAAGAACAATAACAATGTCACTAAATTCTACTAAGAAAATTTTGGTTTTATTAGAGAAAAGAAAATATACAAATAAAAAATGTTGCAACTCTACTGTTTGCTTTGTAGACGTGACATTTTGAAAATTAGGTTGTTTAAACATGTAGTGAAATATTTTAATATTTTTTCACTATGTTCATGTGCATTAGTTCTGAAAATACAATCTTGTTTGAAGTTTTTCTAAATAATTTTTTTAAAATCTTAACTATTTAGTCCTATTTGAAATTATGTTCTTTTTTTCTTTTTCATGTAGCATTATTTTCCTTGAATAACATCATAAAATTGACAAACTTTGACGCTAATTCCAATATTAAATAAATCCTCAAATAAATCCATGTTAATCCCCTATAATTTTTATTTGGAGATTAAGATTAGTTTCTTCCATCTCTTTTTCTTCTTCTTCTTTGGATATATGTTGTTTTTAAATGAAGTATGGGACATAGAATCTATCTTGGATGCTGTCGGGTTGATCCTCGAATATTCAGTAAAAAGTTTGCCCTACAGAATCCTCTGACTCCTAGGATTCAGATTCATTTTGACGCCCCTTCTTTTATTTTTGTCCAGTGGAATGTTGAACTTGAAGTAGTGATTTTGACAAGTGCTTTGAGCCTGGTTTGAGCAAAATTGAAAGAGAGAAAGAGTACGCGCTCTATTATGGGATTTGATAGAAGTTTCCTTTAGAGGGAAGGAAAAGGGTAAAAAGTTTCGGGTTCAAATCTTGAGAATGATGTCGTCATTGGTACCTAGCGCTTTATCCTTCCAAAGTTGGACTTCTCGGAGCAAAATGAATTAGTCGGGCATTAAAGCAGGTATCAAACATTGAATGGAAAACCCAAAAAAATAAAAATCACTCAGTATTATATCAAATAAATGAATGTAAAATAAGTTTTTCATACACACATTTATCACTTAACAGTATATGCATCTCTCATGCAAGTTGAGTTAATTAGCATTTACTCTGATGAACTAAGTAAGAAAAGGGGGAAATTAATGAAGAAAATGAGTGGATTAAGAAAGATAATTTAGTACTTAAGTAACACTCTTGATGAGTCCCAACTCATTTTGGTGAATATTCTTTGAACTTAAAACTTTTTTTCCAGAATTTATTATAAAACTGTTTTGATTTCTTTTTTCAATTGTACTTACCAAACCTAGTTAACTATAGTTCTTTAGAGGCCGTAAAACTCCTTTAGAAAGTAAGCAGAGATTCAGTAATGTAACCATGTGGTTGAACCAATTAGTCGAGTATTATGGCTGTGATTAAGCCTATGGAGAAATTCAAAATGATTTAGATATCACTTAAGCACACACGGTAAAAACTTATTTGCACCAGATGTTTACATCAAGCTATATTAACTTACTACTGTTAAGTGATTTAATGAGGTCAAAATATGCAATAATTAATTATGGTTTAGTAAAAAAAATATATAGGCAAATGCATGTCATGTATCTATTAATTTGGTGTAAACATATGGTACGAGTAAGTTTTTACCCGCATCTATGCTTTCCGACATTCTCAACCAACGAAGCAGTCGAGCTTGCCCAACGTTGCTGAAATAAGAGTCACAAGTTATGCATCTCGGTAAGTATTTTTTGTGCCCTTCCTTATCTTACCTACATTTTCCACATTATTTTTGACGAACAAATTCAGTACTTAATTTATAGGGATCTGCAGTTTCATCAACCTTTTTGAGATGTGCACATAACGTGCACATTTTAAAAAAAAAAAGTTGCACGAATTTTATAATATTTGAAAAAAAAATGCCCGAAATTAAAATTGCACGAATGATTACATTTTTTTTTAACTACTTACTTGATTCTTGAGTTTAGACTTTGTAAATTTATAAACACAAGCCATCATGATTAATTTAACAAAAACTATTAGAGGTAACAAGTACAACTCTCTTAAACTACAAGATGGCTATAATCATGACTACAATATGGACATGTCATGTTTATAGACATCCATTTAAATATACACTTACGGTGGAATATATGATTACAAGGAAGAACCCGTACATACTTAGTCTTTTCAAACTCACCTAAACAAATGTGACACATACCATCTTTGAAGTTTATGCCCTCTTGTACTAAATATTGTACACGAGGGAATAAACTAATGACTCGTCTAATATGTTTTAGAGCGGTATTGCGACTAATTCAATACTAAGCCACTTAAAAAGTAAAAAGATAACAATAGCAATAAAGATAATAATAAAAATTACGAGGACTGCCTCCCTGGGAAATAAGCTTGAATTTGCTCCAATAACATTAAACCATTTTTCTCTTTTTGCGTTGACACGACCAATGTAAGAAAATACTGCTAAATCTGTCTCTGACAAAGGCAAGCAAAAGAAAATAAATATATTAAAATAAAATTGAATTAGTTACCAGTAAGAAGATATACAACAAAACAACATGACTCATTCTAGTTATAAGCTTGGGTTTGGTGACTAAGAATGTAAAAATCTCTTTTATAATTCTCTGAGTTTCTCTTGGGAATCATGGCTCACGAAACTACTTTTGGTTTTTCTAAGTTTATTGATAACATTAAAGATAATTTGCAGCATTTTTCTTTATTGACCATGTCACTCAAAAAGAGCTATATATTCGTAATGATTCATCGCAGAGATTCAGATTTTTGTAGCAACAGAGATCTGGTTAGCTAGCATTCTAATATTTTTACTTTTTAAGGTGGTACGAAAGGGTGCCGCTAAAAGATCTCAAACCATTAGCCAAAGAACAATTGGCTTATTTCCTCATTTGCTGTACTTCGTAGTAGACGAAATCAGATAATGTGTGTCTTATTTGTCTTACTTTGAACAAATCGAGTATGTAGGTAGGCTTCTGTGTATCATCACCATGACTGCATATAGCTAGAGACATGCATAACATGTCTGACTTGTTGTCGCGATCGATACAACCATACTGTGGCTCAGCAATTTATTTTTTGTTAATTTAGTTTTGTTGTATCTGCGATGGCATAGCTACATACATTCATTGAAGGGTGGCCAATCGAACGCCCTTCATCGAAATATTATACTATGTATATAAAAACTTATATTGTGTATATAGGTTAAACATTATTTTTTATATGTGTAAATTAAATTTTGAACACCCTTTGCGAATGTTCTACTAAATGACTATGGTTTATAAAGTTGCAAAGTTGAAAATTAAAAATTGTAGTAGAATTTTCTATTATATAGAAAGTAAATTCGTTGAGAAATACTTGTGTGTGTATATACTTCTGCTGTTCTGCATTGGAACTTTCCTGGTTTAGATTAACAATTCATTTAGAAATCTTGAATTTCTCTTCTTTTTCACGTGCGATGAGTTGGTGCTAATCGATTCTACATTGAAAGAAGAAACAGATATTCATCGATCAAATCAGATTTACTCCATATTTGATGTAGATCTTTTGATAACAGATTAATTGGGCGAGCCTTTCGCTCTTCCGCTGAAATAGTTTGAAAAATAATCCTTTCTTTCTTAAAGAAAAATAATTTTAGGATAGCTAGCCTTGTACGTAGGAGACATCGGATATATCTAATTAGCTAGCTTTCAAAGACAAGGGAGTAAAAATAATTTTAAGATATTATCCTTTCTTTTAAAATAATTTTAAAATAATCTTCCGCTCTTCCAAGTAATTCTTTCTTTCTTAAAGAAAAATAATTTTAAGATAGCTAGCCTTGTACGTAGGAGACATCGGATGTATCTAATTAGCTAGCTTTCAAAGACAAGGGAGTAAAAATATATTTTCATTTTAAAAAAAAGTTACTTGATGTTAAAATTAACAAACTAAAATTCCAAAATGTCACATCTACAAAACAAACAATACAGTTGCAACATATTTTATTTGTATGATTAGTTTATCTAATAAATGCAAAACTATTTCCTAGTTGTAGAAGTTCGACATTGTTAATTTTCTTGTGCGTTAATTTCTTGGTATTTTACTCCATTATGTTCCATGGTTTGGATTTACATGACCAACACTATAGTAAAAAGAGATTTTTACCTATATGTGCTACGTTAGAAACTTATTTACCTTCACTGTTTAGGTTTTAACTTAATTACAAATTGATATACAATTTATCAATTATATACATTTTATTGATGACAAGAGTGGGTTGCTCCAGTGGTAAGCACCCTCCACTTCCAACCAAGAGGTTGTGAGTTCGAGTCACCCCAAGAGCAAGGTGGAGAGTTCTTGGAGGGAGGGAGCCGAGGATCTATCGGAAACAGCCTCTCTACCCCAGAGGGCAGGGCTAAGGACTGCGTACACACTATCCTCCCCAGACCCCACTAGTGGGATTATATTGTGTTGCTGTTGCTGTATATATTTTATTGATAAGTTAATATCCCTCAGTTATAGGGCTTTAATTGGCAACCAATCCTAATCCTTCAGGTATCTACCCACCCCCATTGTACACCCAAAATATATAGAACAACAAGTTTCGATCTTAAAAAGTCATGAATGAAGAGAAGACATGAAAATCCTACAATCAGTAACAAAAAATAACTAAGAACATAGCTGGCACAACTTTATTACTCTCCCATCGATAAAAATGGTCCAAAGTTTTGCATTATATTGATTAATGAAGAGATTAAACCATTGGCACATGCATTGGGCGTGGCACAAATATTGATTAAACTCAGTATAAAGATTTTTATGCATTGATTAAACTAAGCATAAAGATTTGAATTTAAACTCCATTGACAACCATTAAGAAACTTCAAAACTTTTAATTCAAAAATTGGGTTCGATTTAATCATTATTTGTTTGGATTGGGTATTGTTGCAAGTGATGAGAATACTATTTGGAGTTTATATCTCAATTTTGAGAGAATTTGATGAAGATTCGAGGTGGTCTTGGTTGGAATTTCATATCGAACCACGAAAAAAGAAGACATAAATAAATTGTATATATCTTGTATGTCGAGTGTAGAAACAGTATAAAAAATATCTACAACTTACATAATTGTATACAAGTTGTATATAAACTATATGTAAATTGTAGTTTTTAACCGGATTCTGTGTAAAAAATATGTATTTAAGTTGTACATAAATTGTAGACTGTGACCGAATTTGTATATATTTTGTAAAAAACTTTAGTTACTTTATGTAAATATGAAAACTTAGACAAAACCAGGTAAATAAGTTTAAAATCTCGTATATATACAAAAAAAAAAAAAAAAAAAAAAAAGGCCCC